CCTCTTGCACTTGCAACAATGTGCTTTTGAAAAATTCCCATGCCCGTGAATTAGATCCCATTCAATCCGTACTGTACTTTATGAATTACTGTGTTCACAAGATCTAGTGTCTTCTATAGCTGCCATTTCCTTCCATTGCTGTCAAACAGCACTGCTGCTTCAATTTTAGGGCAATATTTCTGAAAATGAAACCAGATGTAGATCTTCATCTATCCAGCCTCACCCATACAATTGATTCTGCAAAGTTTGAAAAATATCCGTTTATCGGTTTTTGAGCTATCATCAAAAAGCACAGTGTTCTTATGTTAGCGAAGGAAGACCAGTGCTAAAACCCTTTGGCCCTATGGAACACAATAATAGTTCCAGAACTAGGGACTGTCACTGACCAGGTAATAATAATGTAAGGCATACCCACTTAAAGGCTAGAGAGCGGACTTGGTCCAAATGTGTTTGCAAGCTTGACAGCTGGTTGTTACACTGCAAAATGTGATTACTCCATTCTTCTATGAAGTAGCGATGCTGCCGGCGCTGGGTCTCTGCAAGTTCCTGCCCCTCGTTCTCTTTCAGCAGCAGCTGCTCTCGATTGGCCAGCAGAGTGTCAAAGCGGCCAATCAGTTCCCAAACATCTCCAAACTGCAGCAAATCCCAATACATGCATGTAAGACACATAAAAAATGCATAGACAGTGTATAGGATTATAAGATGGACAATATGGCTGTTTTCGAAATAGCTTCCTCGTTTGATGACCAACTCCCTGCATACCATAATGCAATACAAAGGTGACATCTGCTGTCAACTGACTACTTATAATACAAACAAGACGGCTGAAGAGGGAAACTTTGTATATAATAACATTTTTTTTTAAGTAACGTGATACTAGAGATCACATTTCTATTTTAAATATTAATAATTTAAATGATAATGTTACATTAAAATTATTTTACCAGTGTTGTTTCACTGACTAGGAATCTAATTGGAGTAAGAAATCCTATACATGTAGGAAAGAATGTTTTTATGGGCCATTCCGCCGAATCTGTGCCATTTCTGTCCCCAGGACTTTATATGTTTAAACATGCATGAACAGTAGCTTATATATTATCAAGCAAAGTATCCTCACAATTTTCTCATTGCAAATTTAAGATACATAACATAAAACATTAATAAAATCTACCTGGAACATTGAAAGAATTATGTTTGTCATCAGTCCCCATTCACTAATGCTACAATTATAATGACTAAAGACCTTAAAAAATCTTATTTTTTTGTATTATGTGACAGTATTACCCATTTATGCTATAAATACATTTCCCTTTATAGTAAATCAATAATATAATACAATAACATGTTAAAATGCATTTTTTAGTCATGTCCTCAGGTTTTCACTCGGTCCTGTTAACCCTATTACATTTCCGCTCCTAAAAAATTTGGTACATTTCACAAGTGACATGTTCAACTGAAACTTGCATCACCTCAGTTGCATTAAGACCATAAGAAAACCAAAGGTAAATCATCTCTCTTTCTCATCTGTATTTTTGATGTTTGATGTATTGCCTGTGGTGGTGATTCTCAACATTCAGTCCTGTTACCCAAATTATTTCTTAGATTTTTTATTTGTTTCCATCCATCCATCCATTACCATCCGCTTACCCGGGGTTCAGGTTGCGGGGGTAGCAACTTCAGCAGAGATACCTAGACCTCCCTCTACCAAGCTACCTCTACTAGCTCTTCGGGGGGGATGCAGAGGTGTTCCCAGGCCCATCCATCCATCCATTAACTTCCGCTTATCTGAGGTTGGGTCGTAGGGGCAGCAGTCTCAGCAGGGAAACCCTGACTTCCCTCTCCCCGGCCACTTCCTCCAGCTCCTCTGGGGGAATCCCGAGGCATTCCCAGGCCAGCCGAGAGACATAGTCCCTCCAGCGTGTCCTGGGTCTTCCCCGGGGCCTCCTCCCAGTGGGACATGCCCGGAACACCTCACCAGGGAGACGTCCAGAAGGCATCCTAAGCAGATGCCCGAACCACCTCATCTGGCTCCTCTCAATGCGGAGGAGCAGCAGCTCTACTCTGAGTCCCTCCCGAATGACCGAGCTCCTCACCCTATCTAAAAGGGAGAGCCCAGCCACTCTGCGGAGAAAACTCATTTCGGCTGCTTGCACTCGCGATCTTGTTCTTTCGGTCACTACCCACAGCTCGTGACCATAGGTGAGGGTAGGAACGTAGATCGATTGGTAAATCGAGAGCTTTGCCTTTTGGCTCAGCTCTTTCTTCACCATGACAGACCGATACAGCGCCCGCATCACTGCTGACGCCGCACCGATCCGCTTATCGATCTCCCGCTCTATCCTTCCCTCACTCGTGAACAAGACCCCAAGATACTTAAACTCCTCCACTTGGGGAAGGACCTCCTCCTCGACCCAGAGAGAGCACTCCACCCTTTTCCGGCTGAGGACCATGGTCTCGGATTTGGAGGTGCAGATTTTCATTCCAGCCGCTTCACACTCGGCTGTGAACTGTTCCAGTGAGAACCACATCATCTGCAAAAAGTAGAGACCTAATCCTGAGGTCACCAAACCGGACACCCTCAACGCCCTGGCTGCGCCTAGAAATTCTGTCCATAAAGGTTATGAAAAGAATCTGTGATAAAGGGCAGCCCTGGTGGAGTCCAACCCTCACCGGGAATGAGTCCGACTTACTGCTGGCAATGCAGACCAAGCTCTGACACCAGTTGTACAGGGACCAAACAGCCCTTATAAGGCAGTCCGGCACCACATACTCCCGGAGCACTCCCCACAGGACTCCCCGAGGGACATGGTCAAATGCCTTCTCCAAGTCCACAAAGCACATGTAGACTGGTTGGGCAAACTCCCACACACCCTCCAGGACCCTGCTGAGAGTATAGAGCTGGTTCACTGTTCCATGGCCAGGGCGAAAACCACACTGCTCCTCTTGAATCCGAGGTTCCACTATCCGATGGACCCTCCTCTCCAGCAACCCCGAATAGACCTTACCAGGGAGGCGGAGGAGTGTGATCCCCCTATAGTTGGAACACACCCTCCGGTCCCCTTTCTTGAAGATGGGGACCATCACCCCGGTCTGCCAATCCAGAGGCACCGCCCCCGATGTCCACACAATGCCGCAGATGCGTGTCAACCAAGACAGCCCCGCAACATCCAGAGCCTTGAGGAACTCCGGGCGGATCTCATCCACCCCCGGGGCCCGGCCACCGAGGAGCTTTTTAACCACCTCAGCGACCTCTGCCCCAGAGATAGGTGAGTCCACCCCCAAGTCCCCAGACTCTGCTTCCTCATTGTATACCGCAATGTACAGGCGCCTAGCCAGGGGGCAATAAGTATGCCCACCCTAGCTCGGCGCTTCTCCCTGTGAGCAACTCCAGAGTGGAAGAGGGTCCAACCCCTTTCGAGGAGACTGGTTCCAGAGCCCAAGCCGTGCGTCGAGGTAAGCCCGACTACATCTAGTCGGAACCTCACAGCCTCGGGCACCAGCTCAGGCTCCTTCCCCACTAGAGAGGTGACATTCCATGTCCCTAGAGCTAGCTTCTGCAGCCGAGGATCAGACCACCAAGGTCCCCGCCTTCGGCCACTGCCTAACTCACACTGCACCCGACCCCTATGGCCCCTCCTACAGGTGGTGAGCCCATTGGAGGGGGACCCACGTGCCTTGTTCGGGCTGTACCCGACCAGGCCCCATGGGTGCAAGCCTGGCCACCGGGCAAGGGAAATCATGATCAATCTTTTTACTCATCATTAGGGGTCTTGTGAGCCGCACTTCATCTGGTTCCTCACCCAGGACCTGTTTGCCTTGGGTGACCCTACCAGGGGCATAAAGCCCCGGCAAATTAGCTCCTGGGATCATTGAAACATGCAAACGCCTCCACCACGATAAGGTGTCGGCTCCAGGAGAGGGCGTTTCCAGGCCAACCGAGATATAATCCCTCCAGCGCGTCCTGGGTCCTCCCTGTAGAACATGCAAAAACCTCTCCGGGTAGCTGCCCAGGAGACATCCGTGCCAGATGTCCAAACAACCTCAACTGGCTCGTTTTGACATGGAGAAGCAGCGGATATGCGAACTTCTCACCCTATCTCTAAGGTTGAGCCCAGACACCCTGCGGAGAAGCCTCATTTCGGCTGTCTGTATCCACAATCTCATTCTTTTGGTCATTACCCATAGCTCATGGCCATAGGTTAGAGAAGGGACGAAGACGGACCAATAGATCAAGTGCTTTGCTTTTCCGGCTCAGTTCTTTCTTAGCTATGACGAACCGGTTAAGTGCCTACAAAACTGCAGACGCCGCTCCGATCTGTCTGTCCAGCTCTCGATCTCGCCTACCCTCACTCATGAACGAGACCCCGAGACTTGAATGCCTCCACTTGGGGCAGTACCTCCTCCCTGATCTGAATCCACGTGTTTCCGGCTGAGAATCATGGTCTCGACTTGGAGGTGCTAATGCTCATCCCTGCTGCTTCACACTCGGCTGCAAACCGCCCCAAAGCACGCTGGAGGTCCCCAGCAGATGAAGCCAACAGGACGACATCATTCGCAAAAAGCAGCGACACAATCCTGAGGCCACCAAACTGGACACCCTCAACACCCTGGCTGCGCCTAGAAATCCTGTCCATAAATATTATAAACATAACCGATGACAAAGGGCAGCCCTAGCTTAGCCCAACCTGCACTGGGAACACATCTGACTTATTACCGGCAATACGGACCAAGCTTCTGCTCCGTTCATACAGGGACCGAATCAGCCACAGTAGTGGGCCCTGAACCCCATACTCCCGAAGCACCCCCACAGAGCACCTCGGGGTATCCGGTTGTAAGCCTTTTCCAAGTCCATAAAACACATGTAGACTGGATAGGCAAACTCCCAGGCTCCCTCCAGTACCCTTGCCAGGGTATAAAGCTGGTCCAGTGTCCCACGGCCAGGACAAAAACCGTATTGTTCCTCCTGAATCCAAGATTCTACTATTGATCTCACCCTCCTCTCCAGTACCCCGGAATAGACTTTCCCAGGAAGGCTGAGAAGTGTGATCCCCCTATAGTTGGAACACACCCTCCGGTCCCCTTTCTTAAATAAGGGGACCACCACCCAGCGGCACTCAGGTCTGCCAATCCAGCGGCACTGTCCCTGATCTCCACGCGCTGCTAAGAAGGTGTGTCAGCTATGACAGCCCCACAACATCCAGAGTCTTTAGGTACTCTGGGCGCATCTCGTCCACCCCCAGGGCCCGGCCACCACGTAGCTCTTTAACGACCCTGGCCACCTCAGCCCCAGTGATGGGCAAGTCCACTCCAGCCCCCTCGGGCTCCGTGCCCTCCGATGTCTCAAAGGCAGTGCGCGTAGATGTACCTGAGGCAGGGTTGAGGAGGTCCTCAAAGTATTCCTTCCACCTCCAGGTCATGTCCCCAGGTGAGGTCAACAACACCTCTTCCCCACTATAAATAGTAGGAACCAGGAGCTGCTTCCCCTTCCTGATATTCCAGATAGTTTGCCAGAACCTATTTGAGGCCCACCAAAAGTCACTTTCCATGGCCTCACCAAACTCCTCCCACGCCCCGGGTTTTTGCTTCCGAAACCACCCAAGCTCTATTCCGCCTGGCTTCCAGCTGCCTCCGGAGACTCCCGGGCTAATAATTCCGCCACGACTGGCACCGACCACCCTGCAGCCACAGCTCTGTACGGCCGCTTCCACAATAGAGGTCCGGAACAGTGTCCATTCAGACTCAATGTCCCCAACCTCCCCCGGTATGCAGTTGTAGTTCTGCCGGAGGTGCGAGTTAAAGATACGGTGAACAGGAACCTCTGCCAGATGTTCGCAGCAGACCCTCACTATGCGCTTGGGCCTGACCGGCCACCTCCCCCGCCACCTGAGCAAACTCACCACCAGGTGGTGATCTGTGACAGCTCTGCCCCTCTCTTCACCCGAGTTTCCAAGACAGAAGGCCACAGATCAGATGATACGATTATAAAATCAATCATCAACCTGAAGCCCTGGGCATGTTCGCACCATATTCATTTATGGACACCCTAATGCTAGAACATAGTGTTCATTATGGACAAACCATGCATTGCACAGAAGTCCAATAACAGAACACCACTTGGGTTCAGATCAGGGAGTCCATTCCACCCAATCACTTCCCCTCCAGGCCACACTGTTGTTGCCCACGTGAGCGTTGAAGTCCCCCAGCAAAACGATGGAATCCCCTCGTGGTGTGCTAACCAGGGAGTCCAAGAAGGCCGGGTACTCCGAACTGTCATTCGGCGCATTAGTGCAGATGACAGTCAGAGATCTCTCCTCGACCCGAAGGCACAGGGAGACAGCCCTCTCGTTCAGCGGGGTAAACTCCGTTGTTAGTGCACCGACCTGTGGGGCCACCAGTAGCCCCACCCCAGCCCAGCGTCGCTCACCCGCTGCAACTCTCCAGGAGACTGGTTCCAGAGCCCACACTATGCGTTGAGGTGAGCCCAACTATGTCTAGCCGGTATCTCTCAACCTCACGCACTAGTTCAGGCTCCTTCCCCACCAGAGAGGTGACATTCCATGTCCCGAAAGCCAGTTTTGTCAGCCGGGGATTGGTCCACCAGGGCCTCTCTTGGCCGCCACCTGATCCACAATGCACCGAACCCCTGACATTCCCCTTGCGGGTGGTGGGTCCACCTGGGGACAATCCCACGAACCTCTTTCAGACTGGGCCCGGCCGGGCCCCACGGGCCCTTCCCCCAGGCCTGGCTGGTAAGTTACTTGAATGTGTTTGATTTTTTCATACTATTAGCTTTGATGGCTTGTGGCTATGGTTCATGAATTTGCTAATTTTATGCTAAAACTCAGTCCTGTTACCTTCAGTCCTGTTACTCATATAAACTGAAAAGTACAACTTGCACGTATATATAGTGATTTTTTTTAATGACAAATATGTTTTTGAACATGTAACCAAAAATTTCTTTAAAATATATGCTTCACTGATGGAAATAGAAAAAAAATAGTCCTCATGTAAAAGTAGCAAAGATGAAGAAGGCGTAAACTGATTAACCTTTTTGGACTTTTTGGTGACTTGATCCAGAAAGTTCTTATAGATGGTATTTCTTTGTACTTTAAGGAGGAGCTGCTTTTTCTTCCTCTGCAAGACTATGCTCTCCCGTTCCAAGCACTCGATCTCAGCCTCCTTCTGCTTTGTCAGTTCTTTCTCTTCATAAGCCTTCTTCACAGCCCGAGCAAACTTCAAGTTATTCTCCTGAAGAGATACCAAGATGTGCTTTTCTTTAAGAAGCATTATTAGCAATAATAGACTCCTATAATCAAAGAATTTGGAGCTGAGTTTGATGAGGTACACTTGTTTTGTTCAGCTTCAGATCAATTTGCTGCTTATACCAGTGAGTGTTACTGTTAAGTCCCCACTGTTAGTGTAACATTGTTGCTGCATCTCTTTAGCTACATTCTCGATATTCTGCTACGGTGATGCTTATGGCCAGAGGAGCAGCAATAGAACAGGCAGGGCAGGCAATGGCCTGGGGCCCTGAACTGGGAGGGGCCCCTGGGGACAACCGATTACATAAAACATTGCAATGAAAAATCTGCGTTATTTCAGTGTTCTGTTTTTCACAAAATTGAAAATAAAGGTCTTGTGTTTATTAAATTATCGTTGTTGGTATTATTAATTTACACTTCATAGTAAAATAAAGGTAATATATTTAACCATGCCAGGGGAGGGGGAGTTGGAGGACCCCATAGAGTTTTTTTGCCTAGAGCCTCCAGAATCCCTGTAATTGCCACTCCCTATGGCCACTTTTTCAATTATTTCTGAACCTAAACCGCAAAATAAGCATCAAGACAAAAAAATCTCTGCAGGACTAATCTAAGATGCCTTATATCTGAAGCTATAATTTTTCTGTGTTTAAAAATCTCTTAAACTCGGAGTCATTGTTTCATATAAAGTTATTTAATTCTAAGTGTTATTGGAGATTCTGAGTATTTAAAGGTGCTTTAGTTTGTGTTTATATTAATCACCTTTGTGTGTATGTATATGAAACTTCTATCTTATTTGCTGCCATCTTGGCCAGGACTTCCTGGAAGAAGAGATACTGTATTGTATCTCAATGGAACCTTTCTGGTAAAATAAAGGATAAATAAATAAAAATAAATAAGATTTAGCCTCTAGCAGTTTTTTCCACATTTTAAATTGGATTATATGGATAGTTTTCCTCTATTTGTTCCTGCTAAAATGGCTACTGTACTATGGTTATGTCATATGGCCTTGCTGGCTCCTGTATCTAATATGCTATTTTGGTACATTGTTATTTTCTCTAGTAATTTCCAGAAAATGGTTGAAAACAATTACAAATTACAAATGTAAAAGATGTGTAGAAGAATGGTGTAGAGATATATTTTCTCTTTGGATTGGTACAGACTTTGAGAAACTTGTTGAATTTGAAGAGGGATTCCTTCAGTTGTTCATCTTTGTCATCATTTGTACGCTCTTTGCACAAGCTCTTCATCCTCTTCTTAAACTCCTGGGAATACAGGGAATGTATCTTTATTATTGACATCAGGTATATGGGAACTGAGGGGGAGGGGGGGGGGGATCGGTATTGTTGTTGGGAGAGGGGAATGTGTACCCCCCAATATTTAATTTGGCTTCATTCATACCACCCCCCCCCCCCAATAAATTTAATCATTAAACTGTACCTTCCCCCCATATCAAACTCTCTCCTACATCTTTGATTGACATTGATGTAAATATTTACTGCAGATATTAAATATTGTTTACAATTAAGCCTCATGTGTGATACACAGAAGACCTGAATTCAATCTCTGTATGACTGTATGACTGCTTCCGCAACCAGCATATATCCTCTTACAACCATTTTACAGCCTTTCACCAGAACTACACCCTTCCTATAATTGCTGCTGTTAAAATGGTACATCTTTCTTTGAATTTTTTAAATATTGTAGTACAGATGCTGCTAACACCAAACTATAGGGAGAACCTGGGCTGGTTGGCACCAGGGGCGTTTCTAGCTGGTCTAAAGATCAGGCCCTAAGTCAAGTTTACCTGGGGTTTGACTTTTTTTTTTAAAATTAAGATTGCCATCCCGGCTAAAATACTCAGGACTAGGCTTAAAATACTCGGGCTGTAGCCCGAGTGATTGGACCTACTGGCACATCAATGATTTCCAAGCAAGTTGAGGGAGCTGTCACAAAAGTCCAACAATACAAGATGTTCATGTGAACTACGTACATTCATCCACCTTGTGAAGAGATTGGATGGCTGCACACCACTAAGGTGGGTACAATTATGTGTTTTTTGTTGTCAAATAAAATGATCCCATGGAAAAATGTGTAATATATCTGTATCTGAGTGAGACATTGAAAAAAGAAAATCCTGCAAAGAGATGGGGATTAGCTATATTTTGTGCTATGATTTCGAAGTATTGGTGGCGCAGTGGTTAACGCCATTGCCTCACAGCCCTGGGAGTAGGGTTCAAGTCTCCACAGTAGATCCATGCATGCAAGTTTGCATATTGTCATCATGGGGTTTCCACCCACAGTAGCATGTGAGTGTGCCCTGCATCGGGTTGGCACCCTGTCCTGGGTTGTTTTATCCCTTGCACCCATATCCTACAGCATAGGCTGTGGACCCCACAACCCTGGATAGGACTGTCAGAGTTGGTGCCCTCTGATCCCTCCTCCTATGCCCTTTCCCTTTTGACCAGCAAGCACTGCTAGTCATCCTGCCTTCCCCCTCTGTCCTTCACCCATGTGTGTTTTCCCTGTTTCCTAAGCTGCCGCATAGCTTAGGGGGTTAAGCGTGTGGTTTAGAAATCATGGGGCCTGTGGTCATATATTTGAGATTGGCTGAGACCAGTCTCATCAGTTATTTTGTATTTCTTGTTTTGTTCCCTAGTATTTTCTGTTGTCCTTTTTGAGTTTCCTGTTCTAGGTTTGTCTTCCTTGTGCATTGGTTATGCTTTGTTTTCTCGCTTCTTTGTCTAGTGTAGTATCTTTTTGTTTTCTTAGTTTTAGGTCTTGTAGGTTTCTTAGTTTCTGTGCCTATTTGTTGTTATTAGTTCAACTTGTTGTCGGTTTCCTTGTGCCAGTGTTTATTGATTGATTAATTCACTGTCTTACACCTGTTCCTTGCTTGCCCCAGTTTTCTGTGTATTTAAGTGCCTGCCGTGCTCCGGTCAGTCATTGTATTTGGTGTTGTCATGTTACTCTGGTTACCCTGACTGGTTTCCTTTCGTATGTTTATTTCCCCAATAAACCCCTGTTGTCTCTTGGAGTGGATCGTCAGCTTCCTTTCCCCGCCTGTACCATGCCCTGCGTCCGTGACATGGGACAAGTGGTTATGGAAAATAAATAGATGGATTTCAAAACCTGTGAGAAGTTATGCCAGCTTGGTATCATGAAATGCATTTAGAGTGCAGTTGAGGTTGGTTGGCACATAATACACAGTGTGTTTTAATATTTGTTATAAGTTGTTATAATGTGTCACATGTCTGACATATACAGTACAGCACTGGTCACCCCTACACCTAGCAGGGATAATAAAGCTCCAGTGAAATAAGTAAACAAAGGAGCAATATGTTAACATGTCTTCCCTCTAGTCAGTCATTCTTTCATAGCATGTTTAGTTGGAGATCACTTTGAATTCACTTTATCTTTCGGTCAGTCTGATTTTTCAGTCATATTTCACATGCAACGCCCCCAGCGGTAAATTATCACTTGTGGGTTTGTTGAAAAATAATAAATAATATTAAATGATAAATATTACAGTTTATGTTTAACATGTTCTTGTTGATTATAAATTAAGCGACGTTGCATGCAAACCTTTTGCGTTACAAACTACAATAACTATTCTAGCTTAAACAAAAAATGCAGCGACGCAGCTCTACCGGAAAGTTGAAAAGTCTGAAAACCTTTCTCTGCTCAGACAGCGCTTTTTCCACCACCTCGATTTCGCTTAACTTCTCCATCTTACGCGTAGCTCTCGTCTTAAGATCCGTTACCGGCATCATCCTTAATAATAAATAGATAATAAACACATCGTTATTACTATAAAAGCAGTTCATCGCGAAAGTTGTGAGAAAGTTTATTATACTTGAATATAACTAACTTAATTTAAGTGCCACTCACGCTGTCAGATGAACGTTATACACTGTTCGAAAGTAATCTTCAACATTGCTGTTTCGTTCTCCTTGGTTTTTCGGGCTTTCTGCTTATAGACGGTTAGTTTTCGTGTCTCCAGGGTAACAAGAAAATTAGTTCTGCTACTATACAACGCTCCCAGCGGTAACTCCTCAGCAACGGTTGTTTATGGTTTGAAATTTCCTACACTGTAAAAAATGTTGCCGTATATTTTAAAGTAAATTACTGGCAGCACAGACGCCAGTACAGTACTGTAAATTTTACAGTAGGCCACTGTATATTTATTTTACAGTTTATTTTATCAGTAATATCTTTAATCACAGTATACCTAAACTACTGTAAATTATTGTAAAACTACAGAAACATGTATTTTTTTTCCTGTACATGTAATTTACGGTTCATTACTATATTCAGTTTTAATGTAATTTACTGTAACATCTCAATACAACAATACTGTATATGTACAGTATGTGAATTAATGTAATACTAGAGTACAATTGTACTTTTTTTTGTAAAAGTTTGTATGCCTTTATGTACAGTTTATATTTACTGTAGTTTTCTTATGTTAAGGCATATTAATGAAACAATGCATGCATGCCATCTAACCTACAGTATAGCTTATGCCTTCCAGCTTCCAGGTAGACAATGACTGATTTAACTGACTTGTTATACGCTATAATTAAACTTTTGATACACATACAGAAAATACACTGAAACCACAAATATGTTCTGTATAAGTCTTTACTGTAAGTTTTTAGAAATAACATATTTCTAAAAAATGTTATTTTTGTAAAAAGATGTTAATGGAAAATGTTCAACAATCCTTACATTTCCAATGTTTCACCATCATGTAATTTTAAAATCTTTTTAATTGTGATTTTCAAAAATTCAAAACTAATTGTTGAAATAATTAAGGAATAAACAAATTAACATCAAGCAGGTAGAATTCTTTAAAAAATAAAAAATAAAAAAAACTTCCTCATATTCCATCATTCCAGGTGGTCACGTTTGGCAGAATCCCTACAAACAGTGAAGTACACAAGCAATAAATAAACCCTGCTAACTATCATTACCATTTTACCATTTTAGTTTCACAGGTAAATTTTACATCACTTTCGACTCTCTAGTCATTGAAATCTGCTTTGCAAAAAGTTAAAAGTTCAGACAGACACAAAACTATAAATGAATACCCTAAAATAGTGCTATATGTGCATGAATAAAATGCTTCAGGTACCTTATATGAAGTCCCATTCAAACTCAGTGAGCTTTCTAATTAGTGAACAAAACATGTGGATTGATGGCAACAGACTTCTTCTGGACTAACTTTCCGGTCTTCTTGCTATTCACCTTTTTTTTTTGCTTACCATTGACCCTCTCTCTGGGTTGATTTTGAAGAAATTTCTGAAAGAAAAAAAAAACATATGCACAATAGGGTGGTCCTTATAACTATATGGTAAAAATCTAACTAAGAGCAATGTTAAGTTTGACCCCCTCAAATAATCCCTTTTTATGAATAACCATTCTGTGTCAAATTTGGGTGAAAAAGATAAACATTTACAGGTAGCTCACATGTTGAAGTTTGACGGTATACCTCCCCATTGCGATCAAAACTGAATCGATTCTATTAATTGTTTCCAATGTCAGATTACAATAAATTATCCAACAGAAGTACGAAATTATTAAATTATTAATTTATATTTAGAAATCAAAGTTTTGATCAGGGTAATTTCCAGTGCCTTGCTTGGTCCCATGCACACTCCAAAAGCAGCAGCCAGTACTAACTCCAGAACATGATGACGACATCCGAGGTGTAAAAGAGGCCTTCCAAGCTTCTGCTCAAGAATGACTCACTATCTTCAGTTTCTGATGGAATGTCTTCTGAATTTGACTCAGTGCTGCTTTCCAACACTGCTTTCTCTAGCAGTCTAGCAAGACATTTTTGTCAAGTTCAGATCTGTGCTTCCTCCTTTGCAGCGTTTCTCCTTTCTCCTGCTTCTGTTGTTGAAGTAGTAACACTGTCGTCCCCTCTGTCGCTGAGATTCAAGGAAGAGTTTATCTCTGGGTTACTGATGAGCTCCATGGCGTTGGCATGGGCGATATCAAACAGTTCTTCAATTGTGGTCAAGAACTCGGACCAAAATTGCACGGAATTTTTTTAAAGCTACGTCTACAGTCTGGAACACAATATTTAAAATGTACATTTGGAAGGTGACAATGAACTTTCATGTGATGAGTGAAAGACACAATAGAACCAAATGCCAGCGAACAAAACTGGCAATGAAGCATTTTTGATTAATTCAAATTAATTTATCTTGATTAAAATTTCTTGTGCTGACCTTTTTGTAAAACCTGAATACCTATTTCCACTTTCATCCACTTTCAGATTTCATACAGTGAGCCTTTCCAAATATAAAGAGTTTAATACTTTTCATGTTACTACATAGGTCTATAACATTTTCTTAATACTCATATTTGGCAGTTTCTTAAATGTATTATTAAATATGAAGAGGACATCTAAAATGGTGGTGGACAGACCAAGTATAACCCAAGAACAGTTTTAATTTACACTGCACTGACAGTTGTCTAACACCTATATGAGAGATTCTCAGGACGACAGTTTCATGCTCTCAACATGCTGATTGCTAAAATCTACTCACAAAATAGCGCCATTTTTAATATAAGTATAATGACTTCAAATAAAATGTGTCCAACGAAAAATAGTATAAATTTTAATTTGGGCTACATTTTATTTATTTAACGGGTGGTTTTATTTAAAGCCAAAAAGTAAAAAAGAATTATGCACAGATTTAAGAAGCCTTGTACCATTAACTGAATATTCTGCTAAACATTTTCAAATGTGAACCCACTTTGTCTAACAACTTTGCTATCCAAACAACTTGACAGTAATGGCAGAGAAGAAATAAGAAATAACGAGGCAAACTGAGAGAAACTCTTAGCGTTTTTAGCTGATTGTTATATTTTGTCTTCACAGTTTTAACACACAAAACTTTAGACAAATATCACGTTCTTTCTCCTGCGGTCACAGCTAGCTTCACCTAACTAGCAAAAACTAGCAAAAAACTAATTAAGTTAACGTAATATTGCTAACAAGAGGACCAAAATGTAATAATGTTAATCACATCATCTAACGATAACTATCAAATAACAATGAAGCTCCACTACCTTAAACCTTAAAATATATAACAACTACTCAGTTCTTAAAAATAACTGAGTGCACACCACTTGAACAGACAAAATAAATAAATAAATAAATAAATGAATGAAGAAACATAGTATTACTCACCTTAACATCCAAATATTAGTGCTGTAATAAACAGCGATGATAGAGGAAGTTTATTAGAAAACCAAAAGCAGGAGGGGAATCCAAAATCGAGGTCGAGTCACAGGCGTGGGTTGAGTACCAGAGAGAACAATCCTACAAAGACTGACAAGACGAGGATCCGACGGGAAGGGGTGAACGGGACCAGGCAGGACGGGCAGGCAGGACAAACCGGGGAGACAGGAGACAGAAAGATTGCTCAGTAAGGCGCATTCGGAAATGGCAACAATACTTCGCGTCGACTTCTAGGAGAAGTCGGTTCAAATAGTGGTGCTATTGGCTGTCGATTGGTCATCGGCGCTCGGCCCTGCTCTTGTGGGCGTGACAAGTGCGCCTCTGTGTTGGTTTACTCTGTGCCAGCGTATTAAAGACAGCTCCCTCGCGCCTGTTTCAGTTCAAACAGCACGGCGTCTTCTAACTGCTAAACTGACCTTACACTTGACAATAATGCATCAAATATAGCTGATAACTATGAAAATATTCGTATTTTAAAATAAGTAAAACTGTTAAAACAGTTGAAATATTACATTTGAAATATCTGTATTAAACATTTTTTTTTTTTGAACTTTTATTAACAACAGTCAACGTAAATACAAACAATAACCACAGTCCTGAGATTGGGGCCGAGTTCTCAAATGAAGATATACATGTTTACAATAAAAATCTGAGGAAAAATAAATAAGTAAAATAAATAAATAAAAATAAATAGACAAACTCCAAGCAAAAACATAAACTTAAAAGAGACATAAGTGGCCTATCCAACAAGGCTTTGGACTGGTCTCCATCTTCTTTCAAAGATGTGAGTCTTCAGCTGTAGTTGTGCTGTCAACTGTTCCATTGAATATAACTCTGATTTTTTGTATCCACTGTGAGACCGTGGGTGGTTCCGGTTTCAACCAATAAATTGTTATCATTTTCCTTGCAGCCATTAGTAAAAGATGTAGCAAAGTTTTCTGATCATGGGACAGAGAATCCGGGAATTTATCCAGTAGACACGTTAAGGGGTCCCAGGAAAGATTCACTTTAAGGAGCTTTTCTACGAGCCCCCTAACTTCAGTCCAAAAGTGTTGCACAATGGGACAGTCCCAAAATATGTGCGTTTGATTACCCACAAGGCCACAGTTTCTCCAGCACTTATTACTACCCCAACTCCCAGAGCGGAGAGACTTTAGTGGTGTCCTAAAAAATCGGATCTTAGACTTCCAGTCAAACTCCTTCCACATTTGACTCCCCACCCCCTTATGACAACCAGAACAAACACCTATCCAAGTATCATCATCCAATGTCACATTGAGTTCCATTTCCCATTGTCGTTTTACATGCTCGGTATTATCCGACATATCTATCATCAGTTTGCAGTAAATTAAGGACACTTGTTTTTTCATTACACCATTGTTTTCAATCAAATGAATCAAATGTTTTTCTATGTTTGTTGGTTCTCTTCTGAGCTGATCCCAGTCCTTATGTTTTGTTAAATAGTCCCTTATTTGTAAATATCTGTAATGGTCCCCTGAGGGTAAATTAAAGTTATTTCTTAATTGGGCGAAGGTTTTCATTACATTTCCCTCAAAGAGTTGGTTTACAGTGATAAGCTTTTTCTCTGCCCACTTATCAAAGCCCCTGTCCGTTAGAGATGGAAGAAATTCAATATTCCTGCTTATGGGCATAGCTCGCGAGAGGGCCACCAATACTCTTAATTGTTTTTGTACCTGGTTCCAGATTTTCAGAGTATTTTTGACCCATAAATTTTCAACCCTCACTTTCTTCTGTTTCTCTAGACCAATAAATGGGAGCCACGACAGAGATACCCCAGGCAATGACTCCTCCTCCAAGGAGACCCATATTGTTTCTGGATCACGAATGATCCAGGCCACGATTGCTCTTATTTGGGCAGCCCAATAATACATTTTTATATTAGGCAACCTCAGGCTCCCATTATCCTTATCTGACATCAGAATTTTAAGGCGCACTCTTGGCCTTTTGTTCTGCCAAATAAATTTTGAGATACATTTTTCTAATGATTTGAACGCAGATTGTGGTACAAAAACAGGGAGGCTTTGAAATATGAACAGTAATCTCGGTAGAACATTCATTCTAATACATTCAATTCTTCCTAGGAGAGAAAGTGGAAGTACGTCCCATCTATTCAAATCGGTTTTGATTTCCCTAAATAACCTTTCATGATTAGATGAAAACAACTGATTGGTCTTAGGGGTAATCGTTACTCCCAGATACTTAAACCCCTGTGTGGAATGTCTAAATGAGACCAAATTATCTAACTGTTGATGGCCAGTTCCCAAAAATCATTAATGCTTCAGATTTATTTGTGTTAACCTTATATCCCGATACAGTACTATACTCACTAAGGCTTTGGAGCAGGGCAGGAATGGTGGTAACAGGATTTTCCAAAAATAATAAAATATCATCAGCAAAAAGAGACAACTTATGAGGAGCATTGGTTTCATCTCTTATTCCCTGTATGAGAGGGTTGGATCTAATCAGTTCGGCCAGCGGCTCTATGCTAAGTGCAAATAAAGAGGGGGAAAGGACTTCACCCTGTCTAGTGCCGCGTCCCAGTAAGAAAAAATCAGAGCAGTGGCCGTTAACCCTTACTCGTGACCTGGGGTCTTTATAAAATGTTTGGATCCATTTAATAAAGGTGTCATTAAAACCCATATGTCTGAGAGTCTGCTGTAGAAAGGCCCAATCCACTCTGTCGAAAGCCTTCTCAGCATCTAAGCTGAGAAGCATTGATGGGGTGTCACTTTTTTGCGCTATTATCTGGAGATTCAAGGCTCTTCTGACATTATCTGTTCCTTGCCTCTGTGCAATGAAACCAGTCTGATCAGGTTTTACAAGTTTTCTTATGTGGTTTTGAATTCTATTTGCAATGATGGCCGTAAGTATTTTCAGATCAACACATAGAAGGCTGATGGGATGATAAGAGGCACAGAGTGTTGGGTCTTTGCCCTCTTTATGGATGACACTAATAATGGCTTCAGACCATGACCGGGGGGGAACACCTTCTGAGAGCGCGTAATTGTAGACCTTATGCAGAATTGGAGTCAGCTCTTTTTCAAACACTTTATAATATTCTCCAGGGAGTCCATCCACTCCTGGAGATTTATTATTTTTAAGTTTCATAATGCTTTTTTTAATTTCTTCTATTGTAACTGGGCTTGTTATCTGGTCAGCTTCCTCCTCGGTCAGTTTACTAAGATTAATTGATTTAAGCAGATCTTCAATCTTTTCCGTCTTATTTGAACAGTCCTCTCCCCTATATACTGTAACTCCTGATAATAGCTAGCAAATGCCTTTGTAATATCCTTTGGCTGCTGCATCATATCCCCAGATTTTGGGCATCTTATTTTACGCACCACTCTACTTGATTGTGATTTACGCAGCTGAAATGCTAACAGGCGACTAGCCCTATTACCAAATTCATAATACCTTTGGTTTATGAATCTCAGCTGCCCCTCTGCTTTGTAGGTTAACAAGTTGTTCAGTTGTTGTCTAGTCTCTTTTAGTTTGTCCAGAAGGTCATCCTTCCGAGTTATCTGAAATTCTCTTTCCAATGTTCTGATTTTGTCTTCTAATTCTAATTGTTCTGCAAGTCTCTCTTTTTTTAGTCTAGAACAAATTGCAATAATATTGCCCCTTAGGACACATTTGGCTCCCTCCCATAATACTGTTGGAGACACCCCATCCTTATCATTTAATTCAAAATAGTCAATAATGCTTTTTTGTAACTCCTGTTTAACTATTTCTTTATTTAATATAGATACATTGGCTCTCCAATATTTAAAATTGTTATTTGGACTCATCTTTAATTCCAAACATACTGGAGCATGGTCCGAGATGGTGATTGCTTCTATATGACATCCAGTGGCTCTAAAGGAGTCTGCTCCCGAAATCAGGAACATATCTAACCTTGAATGGGTGCAGTGAACCTGTGAGAAAAAGGTAAAATCTCTCTCCTTGCGATGCAAACTACGCCAAACATCTACCAAGCCTAACTCCCCCATCAGTGTTAAGAGAGCCAAAGATTTTTGGGATTTAAAACCTGAACCAGCAGGGAGCCTATCAACAGCTCCCCTCAAAACACAATTAAAGTCCCCTCCAATCAGAACAATCCCTTCTGCTTTATCTGCTATCAATGATGCCATCTTCTTAAAAAAATCTGGATTGTCCTCGTTTGGAGCATATACTGTAAATTAAGCAAAGTTATTTTAATGCCCCCTATACTTCCAATTACCATCACATACCTCCCCTCTTTATCACAGAAATTTTTCTCATGAGAAAAATAAATAGATTTATTGAAAAGAATTGTGACACCCCTCTTCCTCCCTTTATGATATGAGGAGCTATATTGCTGGTCAACCCATTCCCTCCTCAGCTTCAAATGCTCCTTTTCTGAAAGATGTGTCTCCTGAAGCATAGCTATAGCACAGTTAAATTTTTTCAACTGGTTGAATACTTTTTTCCTCTTAATGGGGCTACACAGCCCTTTAACATTATAAGTAACACAAATTAGATTGTTCATCTTGTATTATGAACTTATTCATCATGGAGCACAAAGAAACACGTTTTTTACATATTAGCAGGAATTGGCCCATTTTCAATCTCAGGACATGAAGAACATTAACAACATAAAACAACAAGAATAAACAGAACAATGTAGGCTTCCACATACCAGACTGGATCAGTCAGTTATCAAACCTGAAAAATCCAGCCCCGATGTTTCCTGGGCAGAGGGTGGTGACTGGTCCTCCGTGGAAAACAAAACTAAACGTTTTGGGTCGCTGCGTCCGGCTCTCAGAGCAGTCCGTTGCACGCCAAGCCGTGGAAAAATAAAACTCCACTCGCTTTTCCTCCCGCCCCGTCTGGCATTAAAACAGTTTATTATAATTCTCCTAACTAGTAACAATTTCAAACATCAGATAGACTCGGCGAAGAAAGATTCAAGCCCTGCATATGAACGCTTTTGAGGGCCGCTCCATGCTCTCTTTCCCGCGGTGCTCCATCCACTTCGGGACAACCCCGCTTCCAGCCGCTCCCTCTCATCCACGCGCACCTTCACCCCCATCTTCTCAAGTACAGGTTGAGCATCTGACATCATCGGAAAGGTTTTCTCACCGTCTGCTAGGGCCACTCTCAGCTGTGCAGGATAAATACACCTGGCTCTAATATTCTTCGCCCTCAGCTGCTTAACTGCGTCACGCACAAGCAATCTTTTCTTCTGCAATTCGGGAGAAAAATCGTGGTCCAAGTATATCTGCCTTTCTTTGTACATTACTTTTTTTTGCTCCCATGCTTTCCTTAGAATAGACTCTTTGGCAGAGTAG